GAGATATGGATTTGATGGGTGGATCCTGATGGATGAGGCATTGGTTGGATGGTTGCATCCAGAGGGTAGTGGTCAATGGCTCCATGTCCAGATGGAGATCGGTGACAAGTGTCATCCCTCAGGGGTCCATACTGGGACCAGTGCTGTTTAATAGCTTCATCAATGACATAGACAGTGGGATTGAGTGCACCCTTGGCAAGTTTGCAGGTGACACCAAGCTGAGTGGTGTGGTTGACATATCTGAGGAAAGGGATGGGACCTGGACAAGCTTGAGAAGTGGGCCCATGTGAACCTCATGAGGTTCAACAAGGCCAAGTGCAAGGTTCTGCACCTGGGTCAGGGCAACCCCCAGTACCAATACTGGCTGGGAGATGAAGGGATTGAGAGCAGCCCTGCTGAGAAGGACTTGGGGTACTGGTGGATGAAAAGCTGCACATGAGCCAGCAACGTGCGTGCACAGCCCAGAAAGCCAACCGTAGCCTGGGCTGCATCAAAAGCAGAGCGGCCAGGAGGTTGAGGGAGGGGATTCTGCCCCTCTACTCCGCTCTGGTGAGACCCCACCTGCAGTACTGCCTCCAGCACTGGGGTCCTCAGCACAGGAAAGACATGGACCTGTTGGAGCAGGTCCAGAGGAGAGCCCTGAAAATGATCAGAGGGGTGGAACACCTCTCCTGTGAGGAAAGGCTGAGAGAGTTGGGGTTGTTCAGCCTGGAGAAGAGAAGGCTCCAGGGACACCTTATTGCAGCCTTTCAGTACTTAAAGGGGGCTTATAAGGAAGATGGGAACAAGCTTTTTAGCAGGGCCTGTTGCAATAGGACAGAGGGTAATGGTTTTAAACTAAAAGAGGGTAGATTTAGACTAGATACAAGGAAGACATTTTTTACGAGTGTGTTGAAATGCTGGAACAGGTTGCCCAGAGAGGTGGTCGATGCCCCATCCCTGGGAACACTCAAGGTCAGGTTGGATGGGGCTTTGGGTAACCTGATCTACCTGAAGATGTCCCTGCTTATTGCAGGGGGGTTGGACTAGATGACCTTTAAAGGTCCCTTCCAACCCAAACTATTTTATGTTTCTATGAAATAGATTTATTTCAGGAACACTGTAATAAAGCCTTAGTTCAGTAAAGGAAATAGAGGTAACAGCAGTAATAGAAAAACATACCAAGCAATGGGGAGCAGAGGTCTGCCTCGTGTTGGCTATGGTGGTGCTTTCCAGCACGCCATGGCAGGGTGAGGGTGGGAGAGGTCCTGGGCCGGCACGGCATGCACCAGCAGAGTCTCCGCTCGGCAGAGGGGCTGGGGGAGCTGAATTCACTCCAACCTGGCAGCAAAGAGCTGTGGCTGCAGTACGTGAGGTAGGGCAGGCAGCCTAACTATGCAAAAGGAGGAGAGTGGGTTCAGACCATCCTGCAACTGGTCTCATTTGCTTCTAGCACTTTGGCATGCAGGGTTGCTGGGAAGGGCTTAGGTCAATGGAAAAACAAAGCCAAAGTCGCAGGGAGGCTGGGCTGAGAGGAAGAGGGATGGAGGAGGGCATGCAGTGGGGCTGGAGTCAAAAGCTGTTGTGTGTAATGGGAACAGAGTCCATCAGTCCCTGCTGCTGTGCCCATAGGTGGTCAGGGTTCCTGCCTGTTTGACTGGAAATCAATACAGGGGTGGGAGGGGCTGTGGGGAGTTTGCAAGAGAGCTTTTCCAGAGGCTCTGATTAATCGACTCTGATTAATCGTTTTGCACCACAGCCTGTTTAAGCAATCTTTGCCCCAGGCATAACAAAGGGGAAATCACAGGGTGGGGAGACGCAGCAGGGACAGGCAGGGACAATTAAGTCATCTGCCATCAGAGAAACTGGCTGAACTACCATAGGGTGATGGCGGTGCCAGTATAGTACAAACTGTTGCTCACCAGTGGGTCTGAGATTTGGGGGGGGGGGGGGGGGGGGGGGGGTGGAGGGGGCGGCAGAAGC